TTTGCCCCTTGCATGTTTTGGGGTGGTCATCCCAGCCACTCGCTTTCTGGTTTGAGCACACCCAGGGCTCTGGGCTTTGCTTTCCAGGCTGCTCCTGCCCACAGAGTAGCTGCTTCAGGTTATTTTACCTTCATTTTCCCAGGCTGGGTCTCGTTTTGTTTCCTGCCTACATTTCTCGGATCCTTTGAATCATTTCTCTGCTCTGGCCAGTGTTTGCAACACCTCTCTGCTCAGTATCATCTACAAATATAATTACAATTCACTAGTCAAGCGATAGTTTGGGAGATGGTATAAAACGATACCCTGAAGTTCAGCTAAATTGCATCTCGCTCACCTTATCCATAAGCTTTGCCCAGCAATTATTCCGAAATAACTACCACTGGGCAAGCCAACGTCCTTCATCCAGGAGCCTGTCGCGGTGGGTGTGCAGGCTTCTTCCTCCAGACATTATGTTCTGCGCTAGGGATGGGCACAGGGTTTATCCTGTGTCCGGCTCTGGTTTTATTGTCCTTTCTCGCACAGAAAATCAGTGCCTGGTTTGCTCTGCCCATCACCAGGGCCTTGGTTTCTTCCTGGCATCGTGTGTGTGTCGGCGGGTTAATTGGTTCGTCTCGGTGCTGGCCACGCCGGCCAGGTGACCGTGTCTCTGTGGAGATGCTGTTTTTGCTTTCCCTGCAGCTGTTTTTGCGAGGCCTCCACCTCAGTTGCATTTTTCTGGTTAAAAACAGTAATTTCACCCTTTTGAGTCATCTTTATTTTTGAGCCGTCATTAATTTTCTCTCCCTCCTTGTTTATTAATAGACCTTTTCACTTTTGTGCTGATTCTGCCTGGGTATATTTGTAAAGTCCTTTGTATTCCCCTTAGCCCTCCGGCTGTTAACTCCTTCTGCTGGTTTGTTGTCCCTTTTTCGCCCTGCAGCTGCGAGGGGACACTATCGACTTACAAATCCCCCTCCTGTCTGAAACGTTCCCCTTCTCTTGTTCCAGGTATCTCCTAAGAGCATCGCAAGTGAAAGGCACGATTGAAATCTCTCTCTTTTCTCAGTGCCTTTGATGCCTTCACCGCCTCCTTGCATAGCCAGTGTTTGCTCCGGCTGCTGGAGAGCATCTTTCTCCCGGCAGCGGGGGACAGGGACGTCTTAAAGCCCGCGGGGCTGCAGGCAGGCGTCAAATGGGACGTGGCTCTCCGCTCCTTGAAGCGCTTTGCTTTGCCGTGTGCTGGTGGCTCTGTGTTCTTGCCTGTGCTCTGCCTCTCCCCACTAGGTAGCCGGGTCCTTCCCTGGTCCCATCACCTGCTGTGTGAGCTGGGCAGGCTGGTCTGGAGCTCTGCTGAGAGCAGGAGAGGTGCAGGGTAGCCAAAACCTCTGACAATCCTTACCCAGGCTGCCAGGTGCCAGCATTGTGCAGTCGGCGAGCGTGCTGCGGCACGTGCCTGGCATGGGATGAGCCCTGTGAGTGGCGGGTTCCCCAGTGGGGCTGTTTAGAATCTCCTTGTACCTGCCTTTTTATTAGTCTTGTTATTATATATTTTTTTTTCCCCCCTCCAAAGAGCCCAATCTGCAGCAAGCTATAAAGAGTGACATTGCGGGTGCGCGAGCTGCATGCTGAGGCTGCGTGCGGTCCCCCAAGGCTCCCGGTCCCCTGGTGCTGCCGTCCCCGTTCACCGTCAAGGCTTTAAGGTTATCTGCTCTATCGATGGGAGTATGGATTGAGTGGAATTAGAAACCTCGGAGGCTAAAAATACAGCTCCCTGCCAGGAAATGCGGCAGCCTGCTGGGAGGGTGCTGGGTGGCACCAAAACTTTTCCGGGAACTGGCACGCTCCGTGTGAGCCCCGCAGCCTGGCATCCGTGCCTGTCCCTGGGCTCCCCGCAGCAGGCTGTGGCCGGTGTCTCCTGCTGGCCCACAGCGGGAGAAGGCAGCAGGAGCCCTGGCTTTGCCATCAGAGCTGCGCCATAGGTGTCCTCACCTGCTGGGTGGGGATGCAGATGATGGAGGAATTTGGCGATGCGCTGTGCAGCGTGAAGTAGGGTCTGCGACGTGGTCAGCCCTGTCTTGCTGTTGTTTGTGGGGTCCTTCCCCGAAGAGGAGGGGGAGAGAAATCAGGGAGAAAACACTGCCTGTCTGTGCTGCAGACGGTCGCTAGAGGAGAAGCGCAGGCTGGCATATCGCCCAAGCAGCTGCTCTGAGACCTCACAAACTCGAGCCATGAGCACAAGCTCCCCATGAGCAGCGTGTTCCTGGGGACGGTGCGAGGGGAGCGTGTGCCTGCAGGGAGCTCCGGCCACCCCCTGGCTGATGCTCCAGCATCCCCCTGGCCACGCCAGGCTGTGTTGCGCTGGGCTGATGGGCATTATGTGCCAGGCAGCTGGGCAGTGCTCCCACTGCCATGTTTACCATTGTACCGTGGTGTGCCTGGTCCGGGGCTGCCTTTCTCTACTTGATGCCGCAATGCCAAGCTGTTTTGCTAGCCAGCTCCGAAAAGCAGGGCAGCACCCAGGGCAGCACAGGCCCTTTTGGGGATGCGCTGCCCATCACTGCCTGGCTTTGTGGGGCGAGCTTGGTCCTGGAGTCTGGAAGCGTCGGGGTTGCCCTGTCCAGCATAGTGTGAATGAGACCCGAAGCCAGGGCTGTTGCTCTGCCTCCCGGAGCGTGAAATCGGTTGGTGCCGACGTGTGGCCGTGGCATCGATGAAGTGTGTAATAGGCTGGGGGTAGGAAGTGTGCTGCCCTGTGGGGAAGAAAAAAGTGCTGCAGCATCCCTGCCAGCCTGGGCCAGCCACCACCTTGCCGTGCTTCTCCCCGGGCTGTGGGAAGCGGCTCTTCCCTGGCAGCGTGCAGCAGGCAGAGGTGTGTCTGTGCGGGGAGAGGATGCTCCTAGCACCAGCCGTCTGGCTAATGCTGCACCATCTGCTTTGGAGGGTGAGGCAAGGTGAATGGCAAGCTTTCGAGGAGCCCATAAATCCTGCATGTGAAGGCTTTTCTTGGAGGTGACTCGGGTTGTGCGTGGAGCGATGCTGTTTGTGGCTGCTCCCCATGCTGGAAATCCTCAGGAAGCAGAGCCTGGGAGGATCAGTGATCCCCCCCAGGAGTTTGGTGATGTCCCATGGGCTGAAACTCTGGGCTTGGCCGGGAAAAGTCCTTTAGCAGGACGCGCTTTGGTGCAGTTGGAAGCTCTGCGTGGTTGGAAATGGTGGTGCTGAGGGGGCTCCCAGTGCCCCCTCCCCTCCGGCACCCAGGCTGCCGCTTGGTGAGAAAATGTATAATGCCTCGGTGAAAAATGACTAATCCAGACCTTGGAGGGTGTGTAGGATATGTTCCTTTCTCACGGTCGATAAAGATAAAGGGGATCATTCTGCCAGCAAAATTAGTGTATCAAAGAGGGGGAAAAAAATGACAAGAGCTGTGGAGACAGAAAAATGGTTGGGGCAGCCCCAGGATGGTGCCCAGCATCACCGTGGCACGAGGTGCAGGCACGGGTGCCGCGGTGATGCTGGGGAGCACTGCCCTGCCTGGGCTTGCCGGTGGTTTCCAGAGAGCCATGAGAGACCCATCCATCACGCCGAGGCAGCCGTCCGTCCATCCCTCCATCAGGAGGAGGGGATGATGCTGCCTGGCACGGGCAGCCCCAGCCGCTTTCCAGCCGGCAGTAGGCCTCCCCTCGCCTTCCCGGCACCGCTGCCGGCTGTCGGTGAGGGGCCGCGGGGACCGTTCGCGCCTCGGTCGGAGGCTGCGTGGAGGAGAGGCTAATGTACCGGAGGTGCCTCGGAAATGAGAGCCTTGGATGGATTCCTGGCCCTATTGATCCACCGGCAGTTTATGCATCCTGACATTCATAATCTCAGTTGGCGCTGATGGTCCAGATTAATGGGCCCGGGGGCTGTCCATCCGTCACTTCACATTAATTACTGAAGAGGTGTTTTTCCAGTGATTTACCTGACAGCAGCCCGTGATGAATCCCCCTAAACGGAGTGGGCAGTGATTAATCACGGGGCCCCGGCCCGGCCCTGCTCTGCCTTCTCCTCAACCGCAGCGCAGCCCCCCACACCATCCGTCTCCATAAACCCTGCCTGATGCATATTTATAGGGGCAGGGGCGCCTGGCAGCTCGCAGCGTGCCTGCTTCTGCCAAAGATGATGAAAAATAAATCTCTGCCGGGATGGGGCAGCAGGTGAGCGGGGCTGCAGCGTGCCAGGGTGGCAGCCCTGGTCCCGTGCCGGGGTGTCCCTGGGCTGGGGTTTGGTTTCTGGG